GACTAACTCATAATTTGATAAACAAATATCTAATGCTTAATATCATAGAGGGCTGATGAGGGTTGACCAGATTTTCGTCCTGCTATCGAATTTTTGGGGTGACTGGCATGGATTCCCAGGTGCTATTATAACAGTTTTCAAACCTTCAAAGAAAATTCAATGAAAACTCATTCATTTTGCGTCGGATTTCAAAAAAATTTACATAGAAATATTAGGTTTTTGTGCTCTACAAGATGATATCCATTTTGATACTTTTTGGAACAAAAGATTTTTAGGTCATCATATCACTTTGATACTTACATTTGTATGATATTATAGTGGTAATGATGTTGATATGATAGTGGTAAAATTTTGGTATGATCTTGGTATGATGTTGGTATGCAATATTATATTTGCCAAAATAATTTGATGGCATCATATTCTTTTCATATCGTGACATTATGATAGGTATAATGATAATATGATATTGGTATAACAGTGATATGATGTTGGAATGATTTATGGTGGTAACTGAAATTCTAGTAGCCACCGTGGCTACATCCGTATTCACCATCCATTTTTCTTTTTTCTAATCTCACGGTTAAGATTGCTTCAAGGTAATTTTGGAAACTAAAAAGAGACCACACTAGATTATTCTATATATTATACCCAAACCCTACTTCTATCCTCCCTCCGGCCAAACCCGCCGCAGCCGCAATCTTCCATCGACGTCAAGAGGAAGGATGATTCTGTCCAACTCCGCTAACTGCCTCCACCACTCCCTCTCACTAGTCTCATCGGCCGCCTATACCAGCCTCGACGACGCCGACTCTCTGTTGTTGATGACACTGTTGTCTTTCTCTTTAGGTCGGCGACTATTTGGTTCTCGAATGGTGAATCACCGAGGGGTTCGACGACTTCTTATCGTTTCCCAGTTCATCCCACTCCGACTGAATACAGCGCACTGGCAAGGTTGATTTCACCTCCTCCGGATCTTGTTGGCGAGCAATTTTCCGAATCGACTATTGGGGAGATTTGTATGCATTGGTAGTTGTGTTCCCACATGTGTGGCGTGGCGTGAAATGGTACTGTTCATTGGTATGTTTGGAATGGTAGTGTTCTAGTTTTATGCAAGCTAGTGGTTGGACTTTTTGTGAGTTTATCGCGCACTGATTTGTTTCTTGTGGTAGAGCTTCATCTTATCTTGCATAGGTATTGGTTTATCCCTTCTATAATGGTAGTATCTTCCATTATTCCAATCTTGCTTCAAATGAGTAATGTGTTTTTTGTTACCATATCTCGATTTTAGGTATGTCAAGAACCAAGAACCCCAAACACGAAGGCTCAAGAAGCAAGAATCCTGTAAACTATGTCAGTCGTTAGGTGCAGGTCGGAGATGATCGCTGGCGCACATGACTGAAATTAATACCAAACTAACCAGACACAACAATACGTTGCACAATAAGGAAAAATCAATACCATTTCAATAATGATAGTCATAATACCAATACCAATATAATTAATACCACTAGAATCAATCCAATATTAATTTTGTACCAATACAATCAGTACAGATTTAAGACAACTACCAATGCGGATCACTACCAGTGCAACCATACAAAGTGAGTAACACTACGAATCCAAACCTTACAAAACCCTACGGTGGTATAATTGTTGTAATAATTACTTTCTGTAATTATCTCTCCCTAATTATCACATAATACTATGATAGTTATAATTATAATAAAGCAAAATACTATTCCTATCCTTAGTAGCCACGGTGATTACCTATAATAGGTAATCACCATAATCTGTCCCGTCTTATGTTTGCCAGAATATAACAAAATGAATATCATTGGGCAGATCTTAATTAATGCGTTCTTTCTATATAATTTTTATTTTTAGTTTTTGAGTTAAAATGAAGAAAATGAGTCTTTTCATTATCATATCATGGATGTTATGATAGATATGATAATGATAATACCACAACTGACATGTGTTTTGAAGAGTTAGTTTTTTCTTTGTTCAAAACATAGCAAAATGAATATCATTGTGTACATAATATATAGAATTCTTTTAAGAAAAATAAAAGATTAGAAAATTTATACTCTCTCTCCTCTCGATTCATATTAGAATGTCAGGAAAAAATGGTCAGGGTAGAATCGCCAATCCGCCTCTCTTGATTCTTTTTTGTTGGAAGTTATTCTGCGACATTAGATAGTCTTACAATAAATGGTGGATGATGAGATTTTGTAGGAGAGAATTTTGTACACTATAATTTTCCATATTTTATATAAACAAGATAGTCCAAATTAAATAGTCTTTTTTTGCGTCTGTCTTATGAACATTACTATCTGAATGAGTTTGGGCGATGCCCACTACAAAAAATATGATCCATCTATCCAGTCTCGGACCACCTACATCAAAAGGATGTGTAACAAAATTAGCACTATGGCCTTTGCTAGCAAAATAGTCGTTCGCAATTTCCCCCTATGAACATGGAGATGCTAACTCTCCGATCTCTATTGAGAAGTTTTCTAACTTTCTAAGCAAGCCATGGCGATGATTTCCATCCTTGCTATTCTTCATGATGATAATGGTTGTGCCGATTCGAGCTTCAGTTGAATGTTTATGTGCCCCTTCTCCCAAACAATTTTAAGTCCCTCGACTGCATCTTTCAATTCTGCTACAGTTATCGAGCAGATTCCATGGTTGCAGACAAAAGCATCAGTACACTCTCCAAGACAGTTCTTGATCAATCTAGCTGCACCTCCAAAGAGAGAGGACAGAGTCGTCTGACTGAATCTGTACCCAGCCCTCAAGCGGCAGCATCCAAGCAAGATCAACCTTAATTCTCTATATAGGATCACTGTCAAAGCACTATTCACGTTATGTTGGGCCTGCTTGAAGATGTGAAACCACGCTTCAATTCTGTAGAGCACCGTGGTGTACGAGTATGGCTTGCCATCCATACATTCTTCATTTCTCTGCGTCCACATATGACAACATATAAGTCCGAAGTCAAGCCCTTTTTCTTCATAGTTGAGGTTGTTGATCATCCATTGTTGAAAGGGGATGTCTTGTCTTCTCTACGTCTTGTAACACCGGAGTTTTCTCCACATCCCCTTTCGTCTTCTGAAAATTGCAAATGATATATTCCGTTGATTCTTATGATGTTGTGCAGTGGCTGAAATTCCCAATTACAATCAAGTTTCTCTTCATCCTTTCCATGTTGGTAAGAAATTTGTAATGGAGTTCGAGCCAGAGAAAGTACTTGACATGAGCTGGTCCTCTCCTCTTCTACAGTCTCTTCCAATTCTCGTCGCTCTCCATGTCATTTGGTCAGTTGCAAGCCTATAGGATGAATTCAGTCTAAAGCGACCATCCCTTTCGATGCCCCAAATCATCTTGCCTTCTCCGATCTCAAGATGTGGTACCTCCATACCTGCAATAGAAGCAAGCAAACAACGTCGAAGAAGATCATTGAGCCTCTGCCAGTCCTAGTTGCCCACTTTATTTACCCAGCTTGCCACAGACGAAACTTTTTTAGCCTCGGGAAGATCCTCCAACAGTTCGTCTTCTAGGATAATCCCACTGTTAATCCAAGGGTGTCTCAAGAAGCAGGTAGTTTCTCCATCCCTAATACTCCTGCTGGCTGCACTTTGCATAAGCGTTAATGCTTTTTTGATTGTCCTCAAGTACCGCAGGACCAAGGTTTTCATTAACAACCCTAGTGCTGAAGTACCGCAGGACCAAGGTTTTCAACCCTGTTTAACCCATTGGTTCGGTCGAGCAAGTGGGTTGAGGGTTAATGGTCCGATCACTTTAGTCCGGCTTAACCCGGATATATGAAAAATGATTATATTGTTCATACATTTATAATTGATATCAAATCTCATCTAACATATGAGGAATAACATATAATATTACACTAATATAACCTGTCAGGGGAGGAGCTACATTGAACCTAGGGTGGGCCCCGACTCCAAAGATCTTAAGAATATTTTGAACAAATTTTATAAGTATTACTTGTTCTGTAAATTCTGTCACGTAATAGCTATGTGGTCTAATGAAACCAAGCTTGACTTGTGTCTTCAAGCACATTGGTTCAGTCCACAGGACCATACATATAAATATAATATCTATTTTGCTTACCAACTTTTTATACTTTATTAATTTAATCCCCTACAATTCCCCAAACTAAATAGTAACTCCCTATTTATTGTGAGATATTACAAATAAAAGACCACCTCTTGTATTTAGTTTAATTAATTCCAAGTCTCAATTTCTATTACCATTCGAAAACTAAACGAAAAGAGCGATAGCCAAAAGTTTTAGTTTAGATGCTATTTTGAGTGATTTTAATAATCTCAAAGAACGTCATGTACTTCTAAAATAATTATAATTTTTTTATTTAATTATTTTTGGCCCCCGGTCTGGAAATCCTAGCTCCGCCCCTATAACCTGTCAAATTTGAATTTAACATAAAGTGAAAACTCACACATTTATAGAGCATCAATATTCAAATTTTCAACTTAGAATTCTAAAGATTGGGTTAGCTGAAAAGAAAAACTAGAAAATAGACTCATTTCACAAACTACAGGAAAAAAATGATACAATTTAACTTCCATCGACTCAATGAGTAGGTGCTACCCATTTTTCACATCTCAGTATAACCGTATGGCTAATTATCATAAATGGTAATAAACCTATTCACTTTGTACAAAACGGTCACAAACCTTTAATTTTGCACGTTTCAGTAATAAAAGTTTGAGTGAATATCAAAGAGGTCAATCCGTCCACTTCCATCCAAAAATCCGTTACTTTTGCCTAGTTAACATGACACATCATTAAAAAAATTAATAAAAAAATTATTTAATAATCCAAATTAACCCTCACAACCCAACCGGTTCAATCTCCCGGTCATCTCTTTGATTCTTCGGCATCAGTATGCAAATGGCGGATCAAGTGAGCTGTTTCTTGATTAGAAGCCTTGGGAATGGAAAAGGAGCGAAATTGAATCAGTTTCCCCAATCAATACCTATGAACAAAGTGGTGTCAATCTTTCTTACATTATCCCGCAACCAATCGGAGGTCAAGATCAGGAACTCCCAAACACATTGAATTCGCACAACTTTGGTCACCGGCTCGGCAACCACGAACTCCTTAAGATGCCCATCTCTGATCCCTCTCGTCACCGCAAGAGACCCTCGAATCCGCCAAACACCCCTGCGGCAATCCACGTAACCGTCGAGGGCCTCGATTCGCTTCTTCTCCTCCGGACGAGAAGCTCGATTATCGGACGTGAGCGCCTCCGCGACTCCTCTCCTGCTCATCACGGCGCCGCAGTCGCCGGCGTTCGACACCACGAGGTTGTCGTCCTGACCGCCTCTTCGAATCTGCCATCGTTAGATCTAGACAACGACGATGATACTTCGGCGGTGCCGGTGATGTTTTCCCCAAATTATTTGATGCGAATCCAGCTGCTCTAGCGCCGCCGTGTCCGTCGAAGACTCTGAACGTAGACTACATCAATCGAGAAGTGGAATTGAGCTTTGGATCTACTTTTCTTTTCTGTTGATTTCTCCAAATCGTGAAGGGTGGGTATTAGCTATATATTAGGGTACGGTCGGGTGGGTATAGAGCTACCGAATCGGTTGGGTTTTGCTGGTTAATTCAAATGATTAAATGTTTTTTTATTGATATTTTTAATGATGTGTCATGCTGACTGTGCAAAACTAATAGATTTTTGGACGGAAGTAGATGGATTGACCCTTTTGTTATTCACTCAAACTTGTATTACTGAAACATGCAAAATTAAAGATTTGTGACCGTTTTGTACAAAGTGGATAGTTTTGTGACCATTTATGATAACTACCCATAACCGTATGGATCATAGTTGGTCAATTGATGAATGGACCCGCGATTCCCCACGTTTCTTCCCTTTCGTAGTCAACCTGGCGGGCGGCGGCAGCCCAAGTTTGACTCTTGCCGTTCAGAATGCTCTTCTCTTCCAGAGGAGATTGGCAATTAGAGAGAATGAGAATCCAACTGACGGCCGGCCGGCCGCATCGCCTTCCGTTCTCCCCCCGTCTTCGGCCGTCGATCTCGACCATCGCGCCGCGTCGCATTCCGTTCTCCCTGTCTCGGACGTCGATCTTCACCCACGCCGGATAGTGAAGGTCTTCCCTTTCTGTTGGCGGCTAGCCAAGGTCTCTAATTGCTGGATTTAGGAGAAGAAGAGGCGCTGCAATTAGCAGCTGCCGTCTGTTGTAGTCAAATTGCCTAGCCGGAGAATGACGACGCATGCGCAGCCTCCAATTCCAGGTTATAAACAAAGATCTCTTAATTGGACCTGATCCTTTTTATCGTCAATTAGCATTCATCCTTTTCATTGGAGTTCAATGCTTGTAAAATGGCGTCTGATGTCCAAACTACAAATTTGTAGGGACTAAATAACATTGCAGCAAGCATTGAGTATTGATCACAAACCTGTTTTTATACTTAACGATTTCTGAATTCTGCCATGTTTATGGGAAGTCATATCAAGGGAACCATGAGAAGAAAATTAGTGTTAATATGGTTGGTTTTGTTGTTCTTAGGGTACTATAGATGTTCAAGCCAAGGATTAGAAGGATAATTTTCTCTTCATATTCACAGGTGAATCTTTTCTCTGTACAAAGATTGGTGAAGTTCAAGAGTACTACGACAAGTGATGAGCTTGACAAAGGCAACGTCGATTCACTACTTCTACCCTTCGTAGAGCATGGGCCAATAATCTAGTACTAGATATGTCATAAGGGGGTGTGCCCCAAACTATGACCTACAGCTTCTTCAACCACGTCCACAGCTTGAACTCCATGTCTTCTAGGAAACCAAAATACAACTCTCTCCAGGGTCTGGAGAATATTATAGAACCAACTATGCCCCAAAACCCAACCACAAAACCAGCATATATGCTTCCGGAGAACCAAACCAAGCCATCTTCACCAGAATCAGGTACGCTAAAAATGTAACTCGTGTTGCAGCTTACATTCAACGGAGGACCACAAAGTCCTTTGTTTGCGATAAAGCTGGATGGATCGAAGCTGTGGAGCTGGGTGCTTGAAGGAATTCTCCCACTCAAGTTGTTGTGTGACAAGTTGAGGTGATTCAAGAATGTCAAACTTGCCAATCCTGGGGGGATTTTCCCTGAGATTCGGTTTCCAGATAAGTCCAAGGATTCCAGCGATCCCATGGCAGCTATATCCCCGGGGATCTCACCTGACAGTAAATTATGAGACATGTTCAGGTACTGCAAGGCCATTAGCTTCGTCATCTGCTTTGGAAACTTTCCTGATAGCTTATTCCAGGAAAGGTCCAAACTCCTGACGTAATTCAGTATGGTGCTGTAACCCTTAACCTGCCCTTGTGTCACCAGGAATTGATACTCCACGAATGATTTCGCCCCACCAAAGAAGAGGTATATTACTCCTTCTGCATCACTTTTGGAGCTGTTTGCCATGGCGCTGAAATTGGAAATACATTCTGGCAATTCGCCTGAAAGCGAGTTATGAGAAAGGTCCAAGATTTGCAGGAGCTGGAGACGGCATAGCTCTTCAGGAATATTTCCATGCAACTTATTCCCTCGAAAGTTGATGATCCGGAGACTCGAAAGGGTTTTCCCCATCCACTCTGGTAGCATACCTTCCAACCTGTTATCGGCCAAGTCGATAGATACTAGACTAGTGCAGTTGCTGACTGATGAAGGGATTTCATTGGCCAGGCTGTTATTCTGGAGACGTAGTGAAACAAGGGAGGTTAAACTTCCAATTGACCTCGGAATCTTACCTTTCAAGTTGTTGCTGCCCAGCCTCAAAACCCTCAAGTTCTGCCAACTCCTCCAGCAATCAGGTATCTCTCCAGAGAGAAAGTTGTCTTGAAGGTTAAGAAACTGTGTGTCCCTCGCCTGAGTTGGATTAAAGCACAAGAACTTGAGCAAGTTCCCGGTAAATAAGTTGCTTGAAAGGTCCAATGCAGTAAAATTGGAGGAGATAACCGGTAGAGGCCCCTCCAATCTATTCCAACTGAAGTCAAACAACGAGTCAAAGTAACTAACTGAGATAAATTTTGGAACCCGTCCAGGGATTTGGTTACGTGACATGTTCAGATAGTAGAACTGAGAATGCGTGCTCCAGAACCAATCAGGAATGGGTTCTGAAATTCCAGAGTCGGAGAGATCAAGAGACTTGAGATACTGAAACCCTTGGAGCCATTTGGGGAAGGCAGGTCCGAGGTACCAGGAATTCAAGTGCAGTATCTCGAGCATCTTGGGTGCAATCCAATCTGGTCTACTTTCCAACGTCATCCGATTCCCAGATGCAAAGAAACAAGCCAGCTTCGTGAGTTTGGCGAAGTGGATTTCAGGGGAGATAACACCTCCCATAGAGTTGAGAGAAATATCAACCCACGTCAACTCGGAAAGTTCCCCAAAACTTGTGGGAATTGTCCCATTGATCTGGTTTCTAGCGAGGGTTACGTATGTCAAGGATTTTAGTTCCCCGAATGACATCGGAATTGGTCCAGAAATGGAGTTAATCTGTAGGGAAAGGCGACTTAATCTCTTGAACTTCCTAATTTCATCGCTCAACTGACCAAACAGCTGGCACTCTGACAACGACATTCGCTTTAGACTGGTAGAAGGACACTCTCCAAGGATTTCGAGCAACTCTGATACACTTTGATTCAGCCTTGTGCCTGACAGGTATAGTACACTCAAATGGCAGAGGCTTTTGAATGATGCTGGAATCCCTCCTTCAAATCGAAGACCCCGATTGAACGACAAATCGAGAGTAACCAGAGATGTCAGGTTCCCGATGGAATTAGGAACTCTGCCTTCCAGCTTATTGGCAGAAATGTCGAGGTACTCGAGGTGGCGAAAACTGAACAACCAATCTGGCAAGGGACCATTGAACTTGTTTGAAGACAGTGTAAGATGTACGAGGGAGGTAAGGTTTTGAAGCTCCCCTGGAATCGCACCTTGAAGGTTGTTGCCTGCTAGATCCAACGAAGTCAGGCTTTTCAATTGAGATACCCAGCTTGGAAATGAAGTCGGACCAAATTGATTCCGAAACAGATCAAGAGTTGACAACGATGATAGGTTGACTCTTGCTATAGGTGGATTATGTGAAATTCGGCAGTTTGACAGGTACAATTCTGTAAGAGAAGGGAGAGTGTTTATCATGTTGAGCCAATCGGAAGCATTGCTGAGATTGACGTAACTCAAATCAAGGTATTCTAGCGAAGGAAGACCAGAAAGCCACCGCAAACTATCAGCATATGGCGCATCCCCAACACCATCACCAGCAGCAGCCCGGAGGCCAAGTTGTTGCAAGTTCGAGAGATTCCCAAGTTGATGAGGGATGAACCCCCCAAATCCAGACTCATCAAGGAAAAGAGAATTTAAGCTGCTCATGGAGCCAATAAATCCTGGAATCGGAGTCCCTTGGAAATTGTTTCCTGACATGTCCAGATAACTGAGGTGCTTCAACTTGAGTAAGGAAGGACTGACCTTACTCTTAAATGTAGAATCCTCAGAACATTGAGGACAATCCAGATGGAGCTCAGTCACATGACCAGTAACGTTGTCGCATACGACGCCAGGCCATTTGCAGCAGTCTCCATTGCTGCCCGCAGCTCGTGGAGAGAGCCGGCCTGAAGGGTCTTGGAGATCGGCCATCACTCTAGAAAGAGCTTCTCTTTCTGATTCCCTGCAGCTGCTTCCTGCTGCGAAAGTCGGATAATAGCACAAACTCATCCAGCTTAGTGAAACAAGAACCACTGCTGGAATAATCATGGAGTTGCAGCGGAAAAAAATGCAGCAGAGCAAGAATGTGAGTACTTTTATTTGAAAGTTGGGTTCTTTTTTCGCAAAGGAACTGCAAGTGCATAACCCTGTCAATGCACTGGAGACTTTCTATCGTGCTTTTCTGAATGCCGACTTTATTGTTTGCTTTGGTCTTGTTTTCTTCCATTTGGATTCAGGAATCTGCCGACTTCCATTGGGAAGCTGCTGATCATTTTCATAAACCTATTGGTTGACATGTTCAAAATCTCCCTTCAAGTTCTTCTGTACGAACAAAAAACAAAAGGGCCCTTTTTTGTCAAGTTCCCATTAACATCATACATTGACTAACAAAATAGTATCAATAGATACCGGCCAGCCGAATGTTGATGTCGACATATAATTACCTTTCGTGCTGATCAGTGGAACATATTTTTACTTCATCCACTATCATATCGGTGTGCAATCAAACCTGAAATTCGAGCCACTGTCGAAGTAAGCATACCTAATCTGGAGTTCCGGGTTGATAAAACTACGGTCATCTCCACTTCTTTCCAATCCCCCTAGCAAAAAAGAAATTATTCACATCCCATTGATAAAGATACCAATTTTTATTTAATATATAAAATCCTAACATTTGACTCTCACACTCCTTCAAGTGCAAGTGCAGAAGTTTCAAGTTATTCTTTTACTATACTATCTTATTTTATAACTTATGTGTTCATCAATTGTCCGTCGGGTCTACATGTATGGGCCATTAGGTTTCCCATAATAGTTGGTGTCTACTAAGTTTTCAAATATTGTTCATTGTTTTTCTTGTTTCAACAATTATCCATTAGGTTTTTGTCTTGTGCCCAAACCATCGCTTGCCCCACCAATTCGCAGCCCATCTCGAAACATTATCGACGAAATCATAAGTTTTCCTCTTCCACCGTTTGTCACGACTGCTACTGAAGATCTACTAGATTAGGGCCCCGGCCTCTTGGCCGGGAGAGTTTGATTTTCATGTATATGTGTAGTAAACATTGAGGATTGAAGTAACAATTTAATTTGGTAAGTTCTCTATGAATAATATAGGAAAGTATTTAATGTATTTGACTAATGAAGTTTAAAAAATGACAAACAACACCCAACTACACTAACATAAATTCATATTTCAAACAAAGTCATATCTATATAAAAATGTCTAAGAAGAACAATGATAAGAGTTGTTTTACATCACACATACATAATCAATATTTAGTATACGATAAATTTTTTTGCCTTTTCCACTGACTTTCGTGTATTCAATGATATAATGAAACAAACTATATGTTTAGAGTGTACTTAAAAAGAAACAAACTAACTCACACAGTCATGGTTCCATTGACTTTAGTGTATTCAATGATATAATGAAACAAATCATGCAGATCTCCAGCTGCAAGTTCAACTAATAGAGCAACACATTAAAAGCTAAATCAAAGCGAAAAGAAGGCAAAAACTGAAAGCAACATACCTAACATTTGGGGGGGGGGGGGATCCACAACAATAAAAGTCATTGTATGAACACTTGATAATGATTTGAACACTTGTGATATATGAGTAGTGAAAGTTAATAAAAGTCATTGTAGCTCTTACTCAAGTTAGAAAGACTTTGATTTAATGGTAAGTAAACAATGATATGTAGTGCTTAAGAGGGAAGATGAGACCTTACATTGTTTATTAATATGCATATTAGTTTCATTAATTTTACATCATTAAAAATTTATGTGTTGAATAGAAACTCATCCAAGTTTGGAGCCATTGTAAAATGTAAGTTATGAGGCAAATGAAAAGTCTCAAGCAAGGTTGTCAACCCGCGGGTTGACCCGGACCCGGTGAAGCTAGTGGGTCAAGGGTTAATGGGTCACCCGGTTTAGCCCGAAAATATGGAAGAGTCATTATATTATACTTATCCTGATAAATTATATCAAATCTCATCTAACATATGAGTTATAACATATAATATTACACTAAAATAACATGTCGTACTTAGATCCAACATATAGTGAAAATTCAAAATTCACACACAATTATATAACAACAATATTCAAATGTGCAACTTAGGATTCCAAAGATTGAGTTAGGCGAAAAGAAAATCGGAAAATAGACGCATTTCGCAAACCAAATAAAAAAATGACACAATTTGACCTCTAACCCGGTACCTTCTAGCGGTCGGCTCGGCGAGTGCGTGCAGCTCGTTTTTCTCACCGGGTCAGGGTCAAAGTGGGTCAAACCTCGGGTTGACAACCTACTCTCAAGCATCCACATGCTTGCAAAATAAATCTATATTATCAAACATAAAATCATATCTTGCATCAGAAAAAAGAACAAAAAAGTAGTAATTCGATAATCAATATAGGAATCAATATGGACACAATATCTAACCAAGAGAAGAGGAAGCGAAAAAACAAAAATTGTTGTGTATAGATTCCGCTCACGATATTTCAAAGTAAAAAATATCATAAAAATTATTAACCAATAAAAGGGAACAGTTAAGGGAAAAATGCATCAATTTGAACCTAAAATGAGAAGAATTAATATCATACACCATCATATATAATGATATATTATATCCCGAACATCATAAAAAAAATCTATCTAAATGAAAAAGTATACTAAATTGAATCCAATGTAAAAGTAACAATGAAGATAGATATTATATCCACCTAAGGAATAATAAAGTAAGCCATGTTTCTTAAGACCTCTCTCGATAGAACCACTCTATTATAAAACTCATTTCATCAAACAATTGCATCATATAGAGTTTTAACTTAAATTTGAAGTGCTTATAATTAGATATTTCAGCTCATGAAGGAATTAATTATATCATTTGGTAAAAGAAAATAATTTATAAACTTGAGAGTTATTTCATTTGTTGTTAAATCATTTGAAGTAAAGTATGAAATTGCTTCAGAACCGTTATTTTATTCATTATTATTAAAATTGATATTTTTATTATAATGTCTAAGCATGTCTAGGCGAGCTAGGAGATAGACAAATGGCTAATGACCGTCGTACGCCTAACGTGCTGCTGAACCTCAATAATTATAGCAAACTTTGAGTGCATCTTATAAATTTGATCACTTCTATTTTGGTATAATTGATTACATCAATAAAGCGATCAATCAATGAGTCTTTCTTTAAGATTTTGATAAGATGTCCCCTACTGCACAATTAGTATGACTAAATTGTACTAAGATAATCATGTATTGAATTTTGAATCGATAGCGCAAAAGATTGTACTAACTTAAGTAGAGTTTTAGCTACTCAGTACTTCATATTCGCATGTAGATAGCTATTTCGAAGAGTTCGAATATTTATTGAGTTTGTTGAACTTTACCTAACGAAACTATGATACCAAGCGCAATATATTATGCTTTTAGGAGAAATTGAGAGAATATGTTGGTGACATCAAACCTAACATGGATACCATTGAATTTAAGTGATAAGCAACATTTATGTTAATAGATTAGACATGAAAAATATATTTAGCATTCTCATAAGTTGGTATGAAGAAGTGAATAATTAGGAATTGAAAGCTAGAAACAAAGTTGATTTAATAAATAACTGCAAATGATATCGTGAAAAAGAAAACAAATGCTTATTGCATAGCTAGGCATGAGAGTGTTGCATTAAACTCTCTAAGAGAAAGCAAGTAACCATTAATAGTTGGCTGTGAATATTGAAATAGTTAACTATGATGAATACTATATACTGGTGTTAATACTTGGACCTTCGCTTGAACATTGCATCATGCTGATAAAAATTATTTTATTAATTACATAATTGAAATAAGGGATCGTAAGAAAGTTTTGATTGTTTTTTTAGATTGTTAAAATAAATACATTTTTCATAATACAATACATATGTTTTTATTTTTGTTCATACACAATCGTGAATTATTTGCTTGATTTGACTAAACTATCATTCAAATGGAATGATTAAACAATTTCGAATTTTAGCATAGACTGTTGAGATAATTGGTATCGGTGTTTGTCATTTTTATTTATTTTGAAATGTATGGTACCAATGTCCTTATATCGTCATTGAACACTTCAATTCAATGCGCAATATTCCAACCAATGATATTTGTGTTGAGATTTTAAGATTATCCTTCATTTATAAGTTAGAAAAAATTATAAATTAATTATTAAAATATGAAAATAGAAGTATCAAACTCCACAAAATACTTACAGGAGACTTAGCGGGCTAGCTAACCGTGATAGAAAAGTACT